TCTGAACGCCCAACAGACATTTGGGAGCAGGACAACCCTCCTGACAACATAAACTATCCAACACTTGATGAAACATCTCACAGCAACAGACCAATCTTAGTTTGTGAGATCTACGAAGCCATAAAATCAGGGCTAAATGGAAAATCCCCAGGGCCCGATGGATGTGCAGTTACATTTTATACAGGATCCCATCGTATTTGCCGTGAATGACGTACAATGAATCTTTTTTGAACGGCCGGCTGCCAGGAAACTTTCTCTAGCCTTCATGTCAACAAAAACTTCCTCCATTAATTATATTTCCAGACTCTGTATTATTTTATCTTTCAAATTTTAGCAGAGAGATGAATCTGTTGTTAACTCACAGATCTGCACATGCTTTAAAGGTTCAGTGTGTAGAATTTAGTGACATCTAGAGGTGAGGTTGCATGGTGCAGCTCCTCATCTCACCCTCCCCTTCCCAACATGAAAGAGAACCTGTGGTGAACTTCAGTTGTCATAAAAACTCAAAAGGTTTCAGTTCGTCCAGTTTGGACGACAGTAAAAAACATGGCGGCCTCCACAAAGAGGGCCCCCCCATGTAAATATAAAGTATTTAAATATAAAGAGCCCATTCTATGGTAAAGACAACAACAATTCATACAATTTAGATAAAACACACCAGTGAAAACATCTCTACGATTATTTTATATTCAATTTCTAGCCAAAAATTCCTTTCACCTAAATCTTACACACGGGAACTTTGAACAGCAACAGGCACCTGAATACACACACTCACACACACACACGCACACACACACTGCAGTACAGTACTATTAGCTTAGACATACTGACGTGTCAGCCAGGACACTTGACTGCATAAAGTCTCTCATTGTTCGCCACGATGTGAGCACTTTATCTTTTCACATGAATCCAGAGCTTTCAGCCGACCTCTACCTGCCCTTCAGCTCACTCTGCCTTCTCAGGAGTTTCTTGTGTTGTTGTTAAGTTGCCTCCAAAACGAGTTGTGTGTCTTTCCAAGTTCTCCAGGGCTCCAGGGCACCGTACATGAATTTCAACTCTGCTCCTCACCTTTTTGGAAATGATTGTTTTTGGCAAGGAAATTCATGCTGAGCGTGAACTTAACAACAACTCAGGTGAGCTGTTTTTCTTTCAAGTGCGGATTTCCAAATAACAGGGCTGCATGGAAAACGTGTGGGGTGGTTGTTGTGAGCACGCCACCACACGTCTCCAGGACGGGGAGTCACTGTGGAGTATGAAATTCCAATGAGCTCAGAGTTCCTGATGAGTGACTCAGAACAAACGAGGTCTGACAAACTGACAGAGGCTCTTATTTACCTTAATGAGCCACTGAGGAAAACCCACAATAACCTGTTTGCTGCATGTAAACACAAGAGCTAACTGACATACCAGCACACTGAGGTTATTGTTGGACATTAGCTTCCCACTGACATGTTAGTTTATTATTACAGTCTGGGGGCTGTAGCGTCACTTTTGGAGAGCAGTCATGTTGTGCATCTTCATGTACTGTCGAATGCTCTGTCCCACTCTACTCCTCAGCCCTACCACTTGGCCCTACTCCTTTGTGAAGGGTTGGTGTGGTTCCATTTCTCTATGTGATGTAGGGGTAGAGGCCATCTAGCCTTTCAAACACCAAATGGGTAGACGGATGCTTTATGAACCGGCAAAGCAAATCAACATGGCTACTGTTAAAAAACTCATAAATGTAAGTATGAAACTTTGCAAAATAACTATTGAAATATGTTATAATTCAGGGGAATATCTTATTTTAATATAGAAAATCGCTTCTCATGGCATCAAAACAAACCTGTAAACAGTCTGCGTGAGATTAACTAGTAATGTTTGTGACTCCCGTGTCCCCTTTGTGAAGTTTGAAAAAACGTCCCCTCTCATGTTTTAAGGTTTTCAGTGCGGGGCAGAAGTTTCTATGAACAGGATTAACGTTACCTGGAAATAACTGAAATAAACGCGCTGACTGTGTTGTGATCAATAGATCTGTCCCGTCTGTCCTGCAGTTGTCAGATGTGTCGCTATTTTTATGTTGGTTGTACGGTTGTTAATATTAGTTGTGGCTCCGTTTGGGGGGGACACTCCCAGTGAAGGCACTTCATATCTAGGGGTAGGGCCAAGGGAGAGGAATTGGCACAGGGCCTAAACTTGTCACACACAGAGATGTCAAATAATTGTACACAATTCAAATGTGTGGTGAATAAAGAGCAGCTCTATTCCTCTGGAAATGAATCGCCACGTATCAAAATCCTGACCAAAAGAACTTTGACCTCTATTCACTACCAAGTTATATAGCTCTTTCCATATAACATGGGTAATTAGAGTTATAAAGATTAATCATCTGCATTTTTATTTTGAGCTCTACTTCACTGAGCTAAAGTCAGATTTAGTTTTTAACTGATTATTGCAATGACTGATCCAATGTGTAAAAGAGTGTTGTTATATTTTCTTTATTTTAAAACTTTATATTAAATGTTTGCTTTAAAAAAAGATTATCTTCTAAATCAACAGATTTTAAACCACTACCTGCTGTACAATTAATAAATGGGAACACATACTATTTGAGTGTTCATTTCACAAACGTTTCTCATGATGTGCCATTTCTGTGAAAAACATACATGATAAATGACTCAAATCATAACAGAAAGACAGACTCAACACATGTTTACTCCTCTGAGGAAACACACAAATTCAACAGGCTCCATCTGTGACCTCATGCAGTCTTACTATCTCCAGTGGAGAGGCTCCTACTGGGATTCATCAGCTGACATTATTCTGAGAAGTGATTTCATTACAAAAACAGCTCCTCTACCACAGCCTCTACACTATGAAGTGTGGAGCAAAAGGACTGACCTGGCTGCGAATCAAAGAACTTCAAAATCAAAGCCTTTCTTCATGAGGTGTCTGACTGTTTGAAGAAAGTATTCAATCTCATAATCAGTCCCCTCCCCTCGCAGTTAAATCACCTAAATATCCAAGTGGTACCCGCACACACATTCAACACATTTTTCCTTCACTTTGCCTGAATGTTGCCAGAGAAAACACTGGCACAGCATCTCCTCTTCTCATCTCTGTTTTCTCTTTGGATGCAGACTGTAGTGATGCCTTCGAGTGCTGTGGGAAATGGTACAACTTTAAAAGATTTCCCAGTTACTCTCTTTGCCAGTTGCAGAGATTTAATGATAAGGTTACAGGTTACATGTTTCTATATTTCACTGATAGCAACAAATTATTCAATTACTAAGCTGCCTCCTGTGAGGTTGTCATGACTGGTTTAGGACATGCAATATCCAAACACTGTCATCATCACCCTCTGAGTCTTTACAAAGGAACTGATTACTCTTCCATGTTCAAAGAGGGTAAACCTGTTTTCAGATAAAGCATCGTCTCCATGCATCATCTCAGCCATGAAGAGAATGTCTATGAACGTGCACAAATAAAACTCCCTCAACCGGCACACCTACAATAACCAATCAGATACAATTTAAGGAAAAAAATGTTTTGTCATTGTCATTACTGCACTGCTCAGTTTGTTTCCTATAAACATACTTAAAAGTACAGTGTCTAGAATTTAGTGATATCTAGTGATGAAGTTGCATGTTGCAGCTGAACACCCCTCACCTCACCCTCCCCTTCCAAACATGAAAAAGAACCTGTGGTAGCTTCAGTTGTCATAAAAACTCAAAAGGTGTTTAGTTTGTCAAGTCTGGACTAATGTCAAAAACAAAGCTGCCACCGTAGAGAGGGTCCCCTCGATGTAAATATAAAGTATTTAAATATAAAGGGCCTTTTCTAGAGTAAAGAAAACTACAATTCATACAATTTAGAGGAACCAAACAAGTGAAAACATAATGAGGGTTATTCTACATACAATCTCTGCCAATAGATCCGTATCACCTAAATCTTACAGACTGGGCCTTTAAGGTATTTGACCTCTTTTAGAGAAGCTGACAGGAAATAAAAAGAGAGATTTTGGAAACTGACCCTTGCAGGGATTTTGTGTTTACAATGTCTTGAACCCTCAAATTGCCTAAAATGCATCGCCTCTCATCTCTTGTTGAAATAAATGTAAGCACAGCAACAGACAGGGCCATTTTGGAAATATTAACTTTCACATGTCTTATATTCCTTTGGCAAAACCTCACCCATTCCACCGACCAAACTGTGTCATCTGTTCTAAATACAAGAAGAACTTTTTACTCTTTTTTAAATTTAGTTTTTGTCAAATGTGGCTTTATGCCATTAGACATCTCTTTAAATAACCAGAAACATCAAAGCGCACAAATATTATATTACGTGTACATCAAATTTATTTTTTATATTCACTTAACTGAAAAGAAAATATTCCTAAACAATTCAAGACTGATGTCAAACCAAATTCACAGGTCCACTTTAATTTAACTTGTCAATCTTCATTCTCCAAGAGAACGGAGAGATCAATTTTCACTTTGATTTAGGGGAGACAAATTATGGGATGGCTTTTCACAGGTGGCAAAGAACCGTTCTTCTATTGGATCAATACAATATTACATCAGATGCTTAAAAAACCTTCTGCTCTGTAGCTGTTCTTTATGTATTGTTACCTGGAGATAAGATTTGTGTGTAACTGTGGATTAGTATTGCTCAGGAATCATGTGTGTAAAAACAAAAAAAATAAAATAAAGAAACACACACTTCCACTCAGGCTTGCATGTCATGCATCTGCACACGTTTTCTTATCTTTATTGGACTATACATAATATTCTTAAATKCATAGGCAGTCATTTTATGTTCTGCATGTCAACTTTGTATTTTCTACTTTCGTCCAATCATCACAATGTTTAGGTAGAAGCTTCCGAATGAGACCGCTGGATTTTCTGCCTCCACCTGCACTTTTTATTATTCCATAGTAGTGCATTTTCTTGAATCTGTGCTCAACACTTCTAATCTAACGTGCAACAAAAACAAAAACTATATATTGAATCGTTTTCCAGACGTTCTTGCACGTCAGAGTGAGTGAGTGTGAGACGTCCGGGCTTCAGAGGGGTCCCTGAAGGCAGCGCCGGCCCTAGCGGTGATCGCTCCCTGGAGACTCGATGGAGAGGGAGCGAGGTGAAGCAGGACCTCACACCGGATCATGGCGGCGCCTGTCGGGCGGGACACCTTACCTGAGCACTGGGCGTACGGTGTGTGCGAGGACGGCAGGGTCTTCTTCATCAAGTGAGTGGGGCAGTGCGACGCTTTACCGCAACCGTGTGACGGGAGTTGTTTCCTTCTCGGCGGTGTAACAGGTGTTTTTCTCCCCCCTCTCTCCCTCTCCCACCCGCCCCGTGTGTCCGTGCGGCAGCGACGAGACGCGGGCCACCACCTGGCTCCATCCCAGCTCCGGTGAACCGGTGAACTCCGGACACATGATCCGCTCAGGTAGCTCGCTCCGCGGGGCCGTTTGACCTCCTGTTTACTTTAGCGTGTTTGTGTTCAGTGTGTCTTAACTTCATGTCGGGCCCACGGAGCCGCCGCGGCCGAGAGAAGAAAGAGAAACTTCCCCGGTGTCACGAACAAGTGTGTGGGTTTCATTTCAGATCTGCCTCGGGGATGGGAGGAAGGTTTCACGGACCAAGGGGCCAGTTTCTACATAAAGTAAGTGCCGCTCCATCATCCCCGCTGTCTGTGCTTGTGCTGCGGTCACCTGCGAATTACTGAAGTTACCGTGCGGCTTAATATGGCTCCTGCGCTAATTCCCCCGCTACGAGCAGAAGTAATGACCGAGACAGAGTGGATTAATATGGGGTGTGATCTACCTGCTGACCCTGGGACGACCCCTGGGACTACCCCTCTGCTCCCAGCCTCTGCTCTCTGTCTGCCCTGGTTCTTACATCAGGTGTATAACTTCTATACTGGAGTGTGTGTGTGTGTGTGTGTGTGTGTGTGTGTGTGTGTGTGTGTGTGTGAGCTTCTATACTGGAGTATATGACCATGCTGACAATGAGATTCTCTGGTACCAGTTTGCTTTTCCTCTTGCTGATCTTCCAGATCTACCTCAGTGAGACAGTTTGCATTCACACATAACATTTGTTTACATACTGAAGCTTGAGCGACACTGGATGTTTAACTTACCAACGTTTGAGGAAGTATTGGGTGATACTCTTCTGATTATTTCATTTTCAATTCACTTCTTAAAATAGCTCTCTCTCTCTCGCTCACACACACACACAAATATATGGGGTCCTCATGATCTTTGCTGCCTCCGACCCTGTCCTCGTACTGGTGCTGGCAATATGGTCCTCAGGTGTCACCTGGCTCTCTCCCTGGATCTGACCCTCCCACCACATTTAAAGACCCTGACCCTGGTCTCTTTCCTAGAAATAAGGTGTTTTCCATACTCATACATTCACAGTTTAACACAACAAGACTAATGTCTTTAGTTTTTACAAGTCTGAATACTAGAGCGCTCTAACATCATAACTCAGAGACAAAAACTAACAACCTCACCTGAGACTGTGTGACTGTGACCAGAGAGAGGCACAGTCCATTTGTGGAACATTTCCATAAGAACTTTATCACTTATATCAACTTGCATTTGATGTCTCTGGGGTCTTATACTGTTGTAATTGTTGTATCGGTGCAGTCAAAAAATATGATATAATATTTACAGTAGCAGAAGAGAAGCAACACCCATTAACCAATCTAAAGCAAATGATATTTGATTTTCTGAAGAAGCCGGTCTCTAATATTTTGCTGTCACTGTGTAAAAGTCCGTAACATTATGAAGCCTTGCAGAACATATATAACAGTATTTGTTGTAATTGTATCTTTTTTCAATGAATCAAGACTTCATTAGTTTCCAATATGATACAGTAAGAAAAAGATAATTCATTTAGAACCTGGTTGTTTTGAGTAAGTTAATCTTAAATATTATAGAAATATTACTACATATTTTTGTGGTGGTTGGCACTGTCACATCACAACAAGAGGATTCTGGGTTCAAAGCCGGGTTTATGTCTCTCTGTGTGGAGTTTTCGTGTTCTCCCTGTCTGCCAAGGTTAGTCAGAGACTCTTAATTGCCCGTTGATGTGAATGTGAGCATCAAGTTCCTCTGTGATAGACTGGCAACCAGTCCAGGGTGTACCCCACCTCTTGCCTAATGTCGGCTGGGATCGGCTCCAGCCCCCTACGACCCGCTTTAGATAATGGATGGATGTTTGTGCCAGAGTTGCATCATGGTCTATAAACTTAGTCTATATTTGTTCTTTACTCTTCCAGGGATTATTAACTGTTTGAATCTATTCACCAATTTATTTAAATATCTGATTGTAGATTAGAATGTGGTTGATAAATCTTAAAATATTGTCATCTGGCTTTGATAATCCTATATCTTTTTATTTTTTTGGATGAGAAAACTTTCTTAGGCACAGATGAGGCAGATCCATGATCTCTGGTTGCCAATAAAGTTGTGTTGTCTGGTGCTATACTTTTATTGTTTGCCAAAGGTTCATGTATCCAAATGCTTCATTTTATATCACCATGTGCTATGTGAAAACCTATATAATGTCGAGCAGCATAGAGGCACATGTGTTCAGATTAGTCCTCTGAGTCAAATATTTTTCCTGAACAAATTTTGGCTCAGCCATGCCTCAGCATACCCTGCTTACTTTCATGTTTTTTTTCTGTGTGTGGGTTTGTTTCTAAGACTCCATGGTGGATAACGGATTTCTCTGGTTGTTGAATATTCATGTCTTTTCTTTCTAAAGCCTCCGTCAGATGGAAATGTGACTGTAGTCACTCAGTAATCGACTGTTTTAAGGCACTGTAACATTTTTAAAACGCCCTCAGGGGGACTCAGAGTGTTCTATGACTTTTCTCTGCTGAGCTGTTGATTGTGTCATTGAGGGCAAAGATCAGTTAAGTAGCTGTTAATGGTTCATGCTTCAGTACAGAGGTTTTTCTTTTTAGATTCGGACTACGTGTTGTCAAAATTCAGGCTTATTATAAGTATCTTGTTGCGTTAGATGTTGTTAATTAGAATTCTTCAGTCAGATTGGATTTGCTGTTGTGTTTTTGCAGTGATGGGACTATGTGTGTGTGTGCATGTGTGTTGTTTTGCTGTTATTCAATGAAAAATACATAAAACTGGCAATTACTGTGTTTTTGATTTCTGGTATAAGATTTCCTTTACAAGTGAAACCCTGCCACATATTCAGGACTGTAATTGGCCATCAGGCTCTCACCAGGCAGTTGTTGCTGTGTCACATGTGATGCTTTTTTTGGCTGGAAAGCTGTAGTCTGCATTATACACTATAAATTCATATTCAGCCTTAATTCTTTTTGAAAACAAAGCACATCGTGATTGTCTGTTTTGCAATTTTAACATCAAGTGACTGAAAGCTCAACAGGGGAAAAAAAGATCCTCTTAACTTTCTATAAAAATGCATTTAAACATCCACCCGAAGATAATATTTTATCAGACTTGAGTTCACCTAATCAAGTAGGTATTTTCCAAAGGTAGTGTCTTAGAATGAAATTTTCTTTTTTTCTCTCATCCATTCACCAGGGAGATAAAAAGAGATAATTATGGGGATTATTTGAAGTGTCCAAATAAAAGTTAATTATTTAATGAGTCCTTTGAGGGAATATAACAACAATTTATATCACAGATTTACATTTGTTTGTTTGAGCTGAAGTTCTGAAGTTTCATACATCATTACCTCCACCTAGGAGGTCTTGTTTTCACCTTTATCTGTTCATTTGTTTGCCAGTGGGATTATGCAAAAAACTGAATGGATTTCTGTGAAACTTGGTGGAAGGATAGGCAAAAGGGCACCCATTCAGTAGTGGTGTGGATTCAGATCAGGGAGCAGATCAAGAAACTTTTGTCACTTTCTTTATCTCACTTTATCAGATTGTTTCACATATTCACTGATTTCCCAGAGGAAAATGTATGAGTTATGATGAAAAAAAAAAAAGCAGGCACATTTAAGGGACTAATACCTGAGCGTTTGTGTTTTGTGCAAAACCAAATAAAAATCCAGTGGTTCACGTTCACACAATCAGAGATGTTTTTCCGGCTGTACTTCCTGTATTTAGCGGCTGTAGTTGTCTTTTCTAATATACCAGTTTTCTCCTATGTGGCCCTGCTGTCCGTTCACTTGTCCATGTCTGTGATTGGTCATATGCAGTAAACACCGCCCCTTTCATCTGCATGCGCTGAGATGCAGATGGACAAACCTGGGTTGACTTACAGAGTTGATATCCGTCAGCGTCTGCCCGCTTAGCCTGATTGCGATTGTTAGGTTAAGTTCACCTGCCAGACAGATATCCTGGGTATGTTGAACTTGCTTCATATACAGTACCTCTGCAGTTAGTGAGGAACAGATTAGGGAGCATTGGTCTGTACAGGTTAGCCTTTAGCCTAACCTTTAGAGTAGTGCATAGCCTGGCTAGCTTTCCCCGCTTCTGTTTCTTCTCCCTCCACCTAAACATAATCTTTTCCAGCCCGAGTCTCGTTAATCGTTGCTCTGACCTCACGGGTAATCAGTCCCAGCAACAGACAATAAAAAAGAAAATGATCTCCCTGATTTTCTCATAAGCTGTTGTAGGTCATAAAGAGGCAGCAATATTAAAATAAGACCGATCATAACCAGTTAAGAACTCCTTGTAGGGGCTTCAAGTGTTAATGCTAGTTATGATATATATTGCATTCTGAAAGTATTCAGATCCTATCTTTTTATTTTATCATCAATCTACACAGTGAAAAGTACATTTTACACTTTAAATTATTAAAAATTATTATTATTAAAAAACAAAGATGGAAGTCTTAAGATTTTTTTTATGCATTTATATTTATTTATTTATTATAATCATATAAATATAAAAATGGAACACCTGACTTAACTTGAATTTTTAATCTGCAACACATACAGGTCAAACCTGAAGTGATGTTAACTTTTGTTGTCTGACATTCTGAATTCATATTTAATTGGCATTCTTGTTATGTAGCAAATTCATACTGACCTGGACATCTAGTTAAAAAATATAGGTAACGATATGTTAACCTTACATCTTGATTTCAGTCCTAACTTTTGCTTCATGTCTGACTTCATACATGAGAAAGGAGGACAGGTGAGAAAGGAAAACTAGAGTGAGGACAGAACTGTCTCCCTCTTTGGCTCAGTGGGACAAGTTTGTTTTCTGTGTCCTTCTCCAAACCTTTAACAGGCTTATGAATGGTATTCCTTATAACAGAAATAACACAGGGAAGTTATAACAACCCTGAAATGCAATATCCTATTCACATCAAAGGGCGACTATTTATCTACAGGCCATGTTTATATAACAGCCCCCCAGGGCTCCACCACTGTCTGCTCTGCAGCCTCCTCCATCCAAAGTATGTTTTTCATCCTTTTATTACTTGCAACAAGAACAGTACTGCTCCCCCTGTGTCTCTGCGTTTGTTTCATTGTCTTTGCTGAGTTCTTGGAAACAACTCAGTGTGAGAAAAGAAGCTCAGTTTGATTCCCTTCTTAGCATAGTGTGTATTTAACAGCAGAGTGGGAAAGGTTTTTCTGATTATCATTTTTAATCCCGCTAAGAGAAAGATCTTCTAGGGGTTGTTAGAACAAGACTTCGTCAAAATCTGGCTG